AGACAGACAGACAGAGACACAGAGACACACACACGGGCGCACGCGCACACACAAACACACACACCCCTCGAGTTTCGACATGCGCTCGCCACGGAAGCTGAACCGAGACAAAGAAGATGTGCTTCAGCTGGTGGCTACGTACGGTGGACAGAGAAGCTGAGGCGGCTGCAATGTCCTTCGTTCGCGAATGTGTATCTAAAATCGCATTGAAAAGCACCTCAAGTCCCAAGACCCTTCCCCCTCCATGCCAAGAAAAGGATTTCCCTCTCACAGCCCCTCAGCTCTCCTTTCCAAGCCTCGTCCGCCTCCTGGGGCTGGATCTGCACGAATTGCTCAACGAGCGCGACCTGACAGCAGCCGCGAAGCGCAGCGGACGCTTTGCGGACTCGCCGAGCCGGAGCCCCTGGGAGCCCCCTGGGAGCCCCGTGCCGACCGGTTGATCTTTGCCGGGTCCCAGCTCCTGCTTGGCTTGGGGCCATGTTGGTGTTTTTCCGGCTCCAATTCGCTCTGCTGGGCCTCCGCCCGTCGGCCAGGGTGCGCATCAGCATCCTGGACACCTGAGCGCAAGACGTCGGCCAGGACGCGCTTCTTGCCCAGAAAGACCCCTCACATCGCCACGGGGTTCCGGCAGTAAAGCGGTCCTTTGCATGGCACAGCATGCCGCAACATGCCGCAACATGGCACTTCCGGGTCACTGAGGCCAGGGCGGCCGGCAGGCCAGCTCGCATCATCTCCTGCAAAGCATCCCAGGCCTCGCGATCCAAGCCGAGCTAAGCGTGGCTGAGTGCGGCTTTCTCGGACTTTTAAAACGGAGAGAGCTCTCCAAGAAAGCACCCCTGAAACAACTCAGTGCTCCACCTGCTCCACGCCCCGACGTCGCATGAGATCCTCCAGCTGCGACACAGGCCCGCTCCTCGCAGAAGCTCTGGGTGAATCAAACAAAGCCCTCTCAGAAAAAGAACACCACAAGGGAGACATTGAAAGAGAAACCCTCCCAAAGCCACTTCTACGCGAAAGGGCAATGTCTCCTGTTATCCCGGCCATCGCCGCCGCCCCCGCCGCCACCTCCACCTCGGCCCTGGGGCGGCAGATTGCATACGACGGTGCGTCGACAGAAACAAAAGGGGACATGAAGTTCGACGGTCACACTATCATTCATATCTACAACGCAAGCGACACCCGGCGCGGCGCCCGACAAATCGCAGCCCTGTTGCCCAGGCCTCAAGGCCCCTGAACCCCTAAACCCCTAAACCCCGAAACCCCTAAACCCCTAAACGGCCCTAAGCCCCTAAACCCAAAAACCCTACAAGCCCTGGCCCCATTTGGTGGGCTCCCACCTGGCCACGCCGGCCCATCGGGCGCCGGGGCGGCGGCCGGAAGCCCCAAAGCTTCAAAGCTCGGAAAGAGTCGGGAAACTGCTGGAGGGGGGCGAGAAATCCCTGAAAGCTCGGGAAGATTCCCTTGTTTAATGGGTTTGACAAGATCAGCCTAGTGGAAAAATCTCAGCTCTAGCTCAGGCATACTTCTGTGATGGTGTGCTTGTGACTGGTTTGCAGGGCTCGAGACGTGTGGAGGGCTCAATCTCAGCGTGCCGATCCTACTGTGGAGTGGCTCTTCGTCTGGCAGGGTGCGATCAATGCTGCACGTGGGCTGCCTGGCTTGAGGCTCAAACTCTTGATAACTTGATAATTGGGCATTCACGAAGGGCACTTCTGCTAAGCTTCAGAGCCACGACTAAAAGCAAGTCTCGCTTTTAATTACTTTGCATTGCTACACGAGAGAAGCTCTGCTCTAGCCGCTTTTGCGCAGGCATGCCCCACTGAAACTAATCCAATCAACGAAAGAACACATCGTTGACTGCGACAAACTGCAAAACTCAAGAACAACTTGTGCAGGGAACCTGTCGCGAAGGTTGGCGTGAGAACAGGATGCCAACACCGCCTCTACAGTCATCATCACCACCATCATCATCCATGATCAAAACTATCAACATCATCATTGTTGTCATGTTCACGCTGAGGACTAGACTCTTCCTGCAAAATCTTCTTTAGCGTTATCATCATCTTCCTCCGTGTCGTAGTCATCATCACTTCGACCGGCAAGACGACCGGTCATAAAAACACCATCAACAACGGCAGAAGCCTCGTCACCACCATCATCATTGCCAGCATCGTCAACGCCATTAACTTTAAACTTTCTCGTGGCGGGAGTCGACGAGATCTCACATGCCCGGCCGTTGGAAGAGCCTTCTTCGTCCAGCGTCCCCCGAACAAAAAACAAGAACGCAAGCGTTGAGAAATGTCACCCCAAAAACCACCTTGCCGGCGGTTTGCCGCTGCGCTGTGCCTGCTTGCTGTATTCTGGTGTTTGCAGTAAACACCGGGATTCCGGATTCATGGGGTCCTGATCTTCGCCAGCTTACGCCGTGGACCGATGGGTAGAGGCGAAATGACATGCAGACTGCCTTGCTGGAGGCAGAACAAAAGCCTCTGTTCCTAAAGACCTGCCGACGGCTCCCCAAGCATCGACACTGGAACTTTGCAACTGAACCGGGTTCACGGATGCCTTTTTTCGCCTCACTCCAGAGGCCGCTGCTGCAGCTCTCTGTGCAGACGCTTGCTATCCTCACTTTCAGCAGCCTCCTTGGCCTCGGACAGTTATAAATATCAAAGCTGATCCCCAAGCCCTAAACCCAAAACCCCAAACCCTAAGCCCTAAACCCTAGTAGCCCTTTTTGGGGTGCGCCCTTCCCAGCCTTCTCCTCCCAAAGCTCGAAATACTCGGAGATGCGTGGTGCTAGCTTTTCCAGCTCCGCCAACTCCTTCAACTCATCTACTCCATCTTTACTCCTTCGGTCTTTAGATGCTAGCTTGTCAGAATGCAGCACATGCCAGGAGAGTTACAACTTAGCGCCTCATCTTGGTGATCATGTGCACTACAGTCAAACACACTACTAGCCTCTATAAGAGCTCCTAAGAGAGCTCCGTCGCGGGCCCCGGCCTCCTCGTTGAGGTAAAAGAGCCGGTGCCCGCCGCGCGTGAGGAAGGCCAGCTGGGCCTCCAGGGCCCCGTCCACGTCGCTCTTGGCGGTGAGGACCTGCACCTCAAGAGCCAAGCTTTTGGAAAGCAAGTTTGCGCAAGAGGAGCCTCAAACACAACACTCCGCACGCGGCACGAGAGAGAGCGAGGGATCAGAGCGGAGCTCTCGCCGCGGCCTGCTTGCGGCCTCCAGGAAGCTCCAGCGCTTCGCCCTGAGTCCGGAAAGCGCAGGCGGTTGCGCAGGCTTGCGCTCTCCTTCCCGTTCCGGTCCCGCCTGAGGGGGCCAGTAGGGCCGCAGCCGGCGCCGATCTCGGGCCGCGTCGAAGCCGCGCTCTTCGAAGCTCCTGGCAGAAGGGGGGGGGGAGGCCTTCTGGAAAGGAGAGAGCAGGAAGGCATCCGCGCGCGGAGGCGCCTGCTGCGTGGGTCCAGCGCCTTCTGTGCAGCCGAGCCAGGCCTTGGCCCTGCCGAGCTGGCCTTCAAAAAGCCAAGGCCAAAAGGCCGAGGCCAAGGCTCTCTCGAAAAAAAGTCCGCTTCCCGCTGTAAGCTGTCGCCGGGCCTTTCCTGCCGCTGCTCGGGCTCGAACCTGGCGACACTCCCTCCGCCAAAATCGCTTTCTCCCTTCGCCCCCGGTCCTGCACCTGCAAAAGCCAGCGCCCGCTCTGTTGGACGGAAGACATGGCGCTGTTGTTCGTGCTGACGCCACTGTCTACACACTGCCATGTGAAATGCAACAGTCCCTGTACACTGTAAGCGTCCAGGTAAAATAGATGCAGGGGGTGCAGACTAAGTCTACTAAAGCGCTCGACTGGCAAGGCATAGCAGGAATTGCTTCCAAGAGCACGAAGCATGCGTTTCATCCTGCGGTACACACACACACGTGTGGTTGCGGCCTCTTGCCGGGACACGACGTTCTTCATTGCTCGCTCGCTCGGGGTTTGCTCCAGTGGCAAGGTGATTTAGCCCTCAGCTGGCTCAGCTGTGTACGTGTACGGTAGGGCCCTAGACAACGACAGGTGAGTCGCTTGCCCGGTTCGCTCAGCAACCGAGGCCTCTTTAGAGGCAGCCAAGTGGAGGAAGAGCAGCAACGTGCTCTTTGGCAATTTGGCTTGAAAACTGTCCCCGACGGGATGGATGAGACAACACGAACAACCCGTACACCATGGCCACTCAAACATTCCGTCGGGACACCACGGCACCTGCTTTAGCCGTGGATCGGAAAAGCACCTGAGCTGATTTGTAGCCGCTCCTGCTCTCTGAGGAGGGGTGTTTTAAAAGCTCTCCTTCTTCCAGTAGCTTGCAGCATCGGTCAAGTACGCTCTCCGCAAGGTCTCACCACTAAAGCCATTCTTGGCTCCAGCCTGAGGCTTGCGAATGCAACAGACCGCTGACCGCTCCCTCCCTCCCTCACAGCTGCGATTCGAGCACGTTGGTCCATACCAGCTTGTTTTGCCTGGGCCTTCTCCGGCACAGCCCGGAAAGAGAGGACACAAGATTACACAAGTATGCGACTTAACGAAGGAATCGGGGCAAGCAAAAGCACTGGCAACTGGCCTTCGTACACTCGGGTCGCAGTGAAATTCTACATATCGCGGGAACTCAGGCAGCTTGGAATCTCCAGCGTTCCAAACGCACAGACGCTTCGGTATCGCTGGCGCAAGCCTGCTCAGATGACAGGATATCCCTTGGGTTAGAACTGCCAGCGCTCAGCGCTGACAGTCTGCAGAACACCAAAATTCACACACTTGTTTGGCATCTGACTTGAAGTCGCAGAATCAGGGCCGCTTGGAAGGCATCCTCGAATGACAATGAGAGAGCCTTGAAGGAGGAACAACCCTAAACCCTAAAACCTCAAGGCAACTCTTTCAAAAGGAGCTCTTCCCTCAGCCTCCCCCGCTTTAAAATCAGGGCTCGACCCGGCAAAGGAGAGACTCGGCTAAGCTACCGCAAGAAGGATCCGGGTTTGGGGCTTCAGGGTTTAGGGGTTTAGGGGTTTAGGGGTTTAGGGCTTTAGGGGCTTAGGGGTTTAGGGTTTAGGAAAGCATCTTAGATGCTGTAGAAACTGTAGGCCCCCGTCAGGGTAACGACTTCCTGATTCTTCAACAAGAGCCCAAGAAGTAGAGACTCCAAAACCGAGTCGAGCCTAAAACCGCCAAGAAAGCCTGGCCCAGATCATTTCCAAGACCTGGGGTTCTGCAGATACGGTTTAAGGCTATAGGGTTTAGGGTTTGGGATTTAGGGCTTTGGGTTTAGGGGTTTAGGGTTTAGGGTTTGGGGTTTAGGGTTTAGGGCTTAAGGTTTAGGGTTTAGGGCATAGATGATCCAATGAGAAACTGTCGCTAACCTGCAAGCATACGCAGCCCCCCTTTACGAAAGAGTCTGGGCCATGGCTGCCAAATACTTCGGGTGGGGATGTCCCTGACAATCCACCGCAGACATACGGACCGATGCCAGCACCTCAAGGATGAAGATTCTTGCAGTCTCTCGCAGAGTCTTCTCTTCTCGTCAACCAGAATAAGATGATCGTTCTGGGGGTGCTGGACTCCCTTGCAATCATGCGAGGGGAGGGGCTGAGTTTCAAGTAGCAAGCAGCGATAAGACGAGGCCATTACACACCTTTTCTGGTGACTTATACCGGGCCCTTACCCTCCTATGATGTGAAGCTCAGAGGGAGATCACCAACCCGTCTCGCAGATCCTCTGGGCAGAGGCTGCCCGCACTCAGCACTCGGCCAGAACCTTCCGCACTCGCAGACACACAGACACGAAGGGAATGCAAGTTCAGAGAATTTGTGTGATTCAACTCAGACGTGCGTTTCATCACAATGCGAGTTTGGGCACAAAAGAGACTGTGAGCTTGTAGCAGCTACCTTTAGTTGTGACGCAATTGCCTCATCGTGTGTGGTGGCTTAGACTGCGAGCTTCTCTTGTCCAATAACGTGAGCATTTGTGCTACCCCGGCCGTGGACTTGCACGGTAGCGGAGCCTTCCCAGGAAGGGAGGCTCAGGAAGCTTAGAGAGCTTGGAGATCCAGGGCAAGAAGCAAGAACTGCGCGCTGCCGAGGAGCCGCGTGCAGACAGCATGTCCAATGCCGGGGGGATGATTTCAAAGACTAAGGAAGGAGTTCCGCAGTGGTCGGGCGAAGCAAGTTCTTTCACTGAATACGAGGAGCAGTGCCTGCTGTATGAACAGAGCGTTGAGTACCACAAGAGGTATATGGTAGGACCTCGACTAATCAGTGAATTACAAGGACCAGCGAGGAGGTTGGTGGTTGGAAAGAAGGCCGATTGGGTTAGCTTCCCAGGCGGCGTCCAGGTGCTCCTCAATGCCTTGAGGGCTAGCCTGGGAAAGCCTCAGGTGTCGGAGATGGCAGACTACTTGACGAAGTATTTCAGACAGACGAGGAGGAAGGCACAGGAGTCGATGGCAGATTACATCACGAGGAAGTGTGAGGTGTACCTCAGGGCCCAACAAGCTCTTCGTCGAGTTCTTCCTCAACACCTCAAGGCCAGCAACCAGAGTGCCGGCAGCTTGGGCTCAGGCTTGGGGCCTAGCCACTGGAGCCGGAGGACCAGCGTGGAGTCGGCCGAGACGGGCTCACAAGCCGCCGCGCCCGTGGCGGAAGGCACCGGCGACAACACCGCGGAGACCGAGACGGAAGCGACCCAGGACGGCAACCAGAGTCAGTGGGGAGATTGGCAATGGAATCAGTGGTCCTACTGGCAGCGCGGCTGGTATGGCTACCAGACGGGCTGGAACACGGACTGGTGGTCCCAGTCCAAGCGACACTACGAGGACTCCAAGGACGACGAGCCGGTCGTGGAGATCCTCCCAGATTTCGTACAAGGATGGTACCTCTTGTTTGATGCCTCTCTCAACACCACCGAGCGGAACCTCATCCATACGGCGGTGCAGGGTGACTACTCGCTGCAGCGGATTGCTCAAGAACTTCGGTCCCAGTGGGATGACAACAATATCCGCCAGCGAGATAGTCGCCACCAGACCAGCTACTTGGGCGAGGCCGAGGATGAGATTGAAGATGACGACTTTGGTTTGCAGGAGGGCTACACGGCTGAGAACCTCAGCGAGGAGGGTCAGGCACTGGTGGCCGAGGCTGAGGAGGAGGCGCAGTCCGCCTTAGCCGCTCTCCACCAGGCGAAGCGGACCTTACGGGAGGCCCGGGAGAAACAGCACCAGGTGCGGATGTCCCGGCAATACTTCAAGGCGCCTGGCTCGAGTCGGCCCGGAGGCAGCAGTACCGCCCCCAAGCCAGGGAAGCCGACGTCGTGGAGCCAATCGCGGCCCAAGGATGATTCCAAGATGATTTGGTTGAAGTGCAATAAGATGGGGCATCGTGCCGCGAACTGTCCTCAACGTGACCAACAGGCCCAGCACACAGATGAGCAAGTGGAGAGTGCCCCCTTCATCTGCTACGGAGAGATGGCCTTGTCGGCTAACAGCCTCGAGAAGGACGACGAGCCGATGATGACCACCCAGGAGGCTATGAAGCAAGGCTGGTGTGTGGTGGATGGCGGGGCGACGCGGACCTTGGGCAGCTTGGTGGCTGTACAGAATGTTTTGGACAAGAACGTTGAGGAAACAGGCCACACGAAGCTCATCAAGGTGGACACCGAGCGGAAGCCGATTTTCTCCTTCGGGAACAGCTCCGAGAACCAGTGTATGAGCACCGTCGAGCTGGGCGTCCAGGCGGGGACCAAGGAGGGCAAGCTCACCGTCCACACCCTTGATGCCGGCAGTGGGCCCATTCTTCTGAGTGTAGCATCCTTGAGAGCTTTAGGAGCCATAGTGGATTTTTCTTCAGATTTGATGGTCTTCACGAAGTTGGATCCGCAGCGGATTGTACAGGCGAGAAGATCCCAGAGCGGCCACCAGCTGCTACCACTTTGCGGCAACATGTTTGAACATTCCTTCCAGGCCACGCGGCCGATTTCGAGTCTGAAAGACTACCTCCCATAGGGACAACTCCTTCCGCAGTCTGCGCCTGAAAGATCGCGGAAGGTGACAATTGTATAGTCAGGCAGGGTAGCGACTGAAGATCAGTCAAGGGGTGA